AGCTGCCGATGCCCATCTGGTTCTTTTTAAGTGCTATCATGCCTCAGGGCCTCAGACTTGTCTTTGCAGTAACATAGGAAACCCACCCAGATTTCTAACTTCCCAGGACATGAACAGTCTAATGACAGACAATCCAGTTTACATCCTGAGCCTGGTCTCCTTGCCACCAACACCAAGCTTACTCCTCGCTGCCTACCAGAAAGCCCACTCGGACATCTACTAGATTATCAGCTACCTCCACGTTTCATATGCGAACTCCTGGGCTGATGAGACAGTACAGAGCGGGAAAGTGTCTCGGCACCCCACAGGAGTGATCCCTGAGCTCAGAGCCAGGAGTGAGCTGCAATTACTGTTGGGTGAGGCCCGAAACCAAAACAAAACAAAAGAAACAAAAAGAAACTTGAACTCCTGCACTACACAGTCCACTCCATCTCGCCAAGGGGCGGTTATTATTAGGGGCTGACCACAGGATATTCACAGCGACCACAAAAAAGGGTGCCAGAGCGAGCCTGGCTCGGTGTGCTCCCAAGCCTCGTCCATCAGAACGGGAGTCCGAGAGAGGAAGCAACACGAGGCAGAGTCCAGCCTGGCCCAGAGGCAGAGCAGAGGGTCCATCTGCCCTCCGCCAGCAGATGCCATGATGTCGCTAGCCATGCTAGATGCACTAGGGGAGGAGAACAGAGACTCTGCCTGCAGGGAGGAGGCACCTGGGCACAGCATCAGGGGACAGAGGTTTGGAACCTGCAGCTACTGCAGGAGGCATTGCCCAAGAACCACGGCTCAAAACGCCTCTCTCGAAGCTTTCCAGCAACATCTGGGCAGTGGGAGAATGCCACTATATGGTGAAGGCTTGGAAACACTGTTGAGCTGGTGGACATCCGATGGGCCACTTCACATTACGAAACAGAACGTGACTCCTGCCTGAGATGAAGATGACAGAGATGCTGAGGCTCGCCCAGACCCCCATACTGACCTCAGCCCCCAAGGAACTCCCTGTGACTGCGTTTCTATTACACTCAAGCAGACTTTTCCTTCTTTCCCAAGAATTATCAGTGACCTTGTCTGAGCTGCTTTGAGCTTTCCAACTCCAAAATTCAAAAATATACTAAAGGTGAAAGAAATAAGAAGTACTATTCCCGGGGCTGGAGCGACACCACAGCGTGTAGGGTGTTTGCCTTGCACACAGCCAACCTGGGTTCAATTCCCAGCATCCCATTGGGTTCCCTGAAGTTCCTAAGGGCAGAGCCAGGAGTGCATCGCTGGGTGTGACCCAAAAAGAAAAAAAAAAAAAGAAAAAAAAGAAGCACTATTCCAGAAAAGATTTTGCCTGAAAGATTTACATAACATTATTCAAGCAGAATTTTTCCACTGCACAAAAATATTTCCTATGTCTTTGAGCTGATAGCTTTTTCCGATCAGAAAATGCACATGAACAATAGGTTTTCAATCACACAAAGGAAAGCTAACTAGAGAATTTGAAAACTTTCAAAAATTGAATTATTTCCTTTTATAAAACTCTGCAGTCTAAAAAAAAAATCTTAAAAAAAACAAAGTGTTTGTTAAATAGATGAAATTTATAATCTGCCACTTTTTAACATAATTACCTGCATTTCAATGCATATTTAGCTCTGCATTCACACAGCTCAATTAAAGCTTTTGCAATAGTGCTTCATCAGAAAGGAAAGGGAAGCGGGAAATGCCTGGCATTTCAAGAGGATTACTGGGAAAGATAATTCACAAAAATACCGTCCGCATCACACGGAGTTCTACAATTAAAATTCTAGTGAAAACCTATTTTAAATATTTCTTTATCTTACTCAACAATTATCTGATGTCTCAACTTGAGAGAACTTGGGCCTCAACCCATGCCACAAAGTTTCCTTTTGAGAAAATTCTCAAAATGTTTTTCCAGCCCTCCACGAAACACCATTGAACAAAGTCAGACCCTGCTATGCTCATGGTCTCGAGTCGCCGCCTGAGAAAGCCAGGCGCTACAGCCCAATCCCTGCAGGCCAGCAACAGTTACGGAAGAGCAGCCGAAGCCGCTGGTAGATCCAAATAGCCGAAGCCGCTGGTAGATCCAAATAACTAGTTGTCTGAGCACTCTGGACACCTTGCTAAGACCCAACATTTCAAGACAGTCGGCTACTGCTTTCAACAGAAGCATCCCCTATTTGAAGGGGGAAAGAGCGCTCACAACAAGGACTGACCTTCTGTTGGTTTTCTTTGGGGACCACACCAGGCTGTGCCCAGAGCTTACTACTGGCTCTGTGTTCACAGGGTCACTTCAGGTGGGGCTCCAGGGATCAAACTCTGGTCGGCCATGGGTAAGGCCAGCACCTTCACGGCTGTGCTAAGCTTCCAATCCCGATTAACTATCTGAAAATGCACCGGTTCTCTAGGTCAATTCATCTCAAAAAGAGATACTCACCTCTTTTGCTTTGAAAAGTACAAAAGAACTAAATTTCATTCCAGTATTTTGAAGTTATTTTAAGGAAGGGAAAAAAAAAAACTTTCTAAGAAATGAGGAATAGTAAAGGAAGAAATTTGGTAAATATGAATACATTATGAGCTTACTTTTTAGAGGGGTAGGAGGGGGGGCAATCATCTGGCAACGCTCAGACCTCACCCCTGGCTCTGTGCTCAGAGATCACTTCTACAGTGCTCCAGAGACTGTACAGATGCCGGAGATCAGATCTGGGCCGGCTACGTGAAAGGCAAGTGCCTGATCTCTGGCCCCTGAATTATTTTCTCCTGATGCCCATTTTGATAAAACAGAGCAGCTTTAAAGTGAGTCACTTTAATGCCCCTTCATTAGAATTAGGCAGAATCATGGCCAAGAATAAAGCCCATCTGTCTTTCTCCAGTTGCAAAAAATGCAAATCTACCAGGGGCCCAGGGGAAGCCTCTCGCTGGCAGTTACTGACTCTCTAAGTCCTCACTTAACAACACACACAAAGAATCTCAGACACTGTCGTTTTGAACAAAGCTACAGGCAGTGAAAGAAGGCGCTTCTTTCAAGTGGGCAGGATTACTTTTCTTCAGTGTTATCAAAAACCAATCTTAAGTGAAAATAGTCAGTCCAAGACCTCCTTGTATCACAAGAAATCAATAATTTCTTTTTTCTTTTTTTTTTTTTTTGCTTTTTGGGTCACATCCGGCAATGCACAGGGGTTACTCCTGGCTCTGCACTCAAGAATTACTCCTGGTAATGCTCAGAGGACCATATGGGATGCTGGGAATAGAACCCGGGTTGGCCACATGCAAGGCAAACGCCCTACCCACTGTGCTATCGCTCCAGCCCCTAGAAATCACCAATTTCAAGATGTCCGTGACACCCACTCAGAAAGTGCCCTGAAACTGAACAAGTATCTCAAGTCTAGTGAGGCAGCAGGACAAGTGAGGCCTGGAAAGTCTGTAAGGAACAATCTGTGCGGTGCCTCCACTACCATCCACCCCCTAACCCAGCCTGCCACGTTAGCGGTTAACTCCAAGAAGCTCTTCTTTAATGAAAATGAACAACACACAAATTCTTGGATAAAGACCAAGAAGAAAACTGGAGGTCTAGTTTCATTTGGGATCTGACTCACTAATCAATTCCATTTCACATTCAATGGGTTTAATTCTCACCCTTGAAAGCCCTTAAAATGAGGAAATAAAATAGGGATAATTTTAGCTTCTCTTAATATTTAAGGAAAAATTCTATACAGGGGACCAGAGAAACAGCGCAGTGTTATAGAGAGGCACTTCCCTTGCATGCAGTCAACCCAGGTTCAATCCCCGACATTCAATGTGGTCCCCAGAGCCCACTTGGAGTGATTCCTGAGCGCAGAGCCAGGAGTAACCCCTGAGCATCACCGGGTGTGACCCCAAAATCAAAAAGAGAAAAAATATATACATAAGAAAAAGCATTATTCAAGAAATCACAAAAAATAAAGTCTGCAGATCTCAAGGCAGATTAGACTTATAAAATGTAATTTGGCAAATATCAAGAACACGTTGCATTACACACCAAGTCAAATGCATCTATTAGAAACCACCATAGTCACGATGCAGTGACCAATACTAGTAACAAAAGGAGCGTGAAGATTAGTGAATCTATTCATTAAAACCCTAACATATACCAAAAAACAGGTGACAAACAACATGGCTGAAAAATAGACAACCCATTCCTGACAAAAGCAAATAAAACTCCTCAAACTTAGTGATTCTGGCAAAATAACCAAAGCATCAACCAAGTTATGTCTGGAGTTTGAGGCCAGAAGCTGCCTGTGTTCGGGGCTGACACCAGGGCCGTGTGGTGCTGGGGAGAAAACTGGAGCATAAAGCAGGGCCCCGCACATTCAGTATTGGAGGGAGGAATGGAGAAATATAGGTGGGGGGAGAGGGAGAAAGGGAGGGGGAGAGGGAGGGAAAGAGGGAGGGAGGGAGAGATGTCACTGAAGAAGAAATAACTTGAAATTTTGAATAAGACTATGCTATGCATTATTAGCAATCGGGTTTAAAGTAGTAAGAGTAGATTAATATACACTAATCTGTAAAGTGACAGACTATAATACTAAGTAAACAGCATAACCAGCATATGTAAAAAAAATAATGCAAATGAAGGGCTGGGGGTATACAGTACTTGCTCTGCATGTAACAGCCCTGCATTCAATCAACAGCACCACCAAAGGAAAAAAAAATCTGTAACTATATGTATGCAGTATTTTAAGATAGACAGATACTTTACATCAAAGGCTTGTACCAAATTATTCTTTGTTTGCTAATAAGTACCTTCATATGCCATGTCATCATACATGAGGATCATCTATAATTACAAGATATTTTCATAATTTTTCAAATAAAACATCCTGTTTTACAACAATCAGCCATACATAATTATCTAATTATATGTCAACTTTAGCCCAAGTTTACATTTAAAGACAGTGTGCAACTTTCGAAATCTGATATTTCAAGTCCTCTTCAACAGGCCAAAAGGAGAATTTAATTGTGCTTACCGACTTCACTAATCACTGCTCTGATTTTGGAGACAAAAGGACCGACTTCACTGGGGTGCATTTTCACTCTCTCCTTAAGGTCAGCACCTGCAAAGTATTTTTATTATAAATATCATGCAGTTACACACAAAAATTTCAGGCAATTAATTGAAATTTCACATGAGAGTCATATGATACATAAAGTCACTGACTACATCTGTTAAGGGAATTGTATTATCCAGGTATTCCTCCCAGTAAACACCATTCACACACATGCACACACGCACCACACACACACAAGAATGTTTGCTCAAGTATTTCAAGAAGTGGTTCTCGAGAGCTGTGGTCTGAATTCCTTTAAACGCTTAGAGGAAGGAAAAGACTTTGTTTAGATGTTAACTCTCGATAATTATAAGAAAGCAAAGCTTAGTTTATTGTATATATTCACATGCTTTATAATGGAATGATTCCATTACTTCAAATATGAATGACCACAGGTTATGCCTCTTCTGTGGTTCTTATAGAAAAGATGCTGGTGACTTCCTCCACCACTGACTTCATCCCTTCAGAGCAGATCCCGACTCAGTGAATGAAAAAGGCAACTGCCGATGTGCTCGTGCTGTGCCAGTCCTCTGGGTGACCACAAGTCACATGCAAGAATAGCTGGCTCTAAATTCTAAGCAAACTGACAAGTTTGCAGTTAAAGTTTATCATGGAATCATGACTTTGAAATAGAAAAATAAACACATGGGATTCCTTAGGGATATTTTACTCTGTGGTTCAACCAGACATTCTTGTAATAAAATTAATTTAGGAACATCAAACCACAGAAAAGAGATCCCCACAAAAGCAGAGAAGCAAAGAATGAAGTAAACTTTGTATAAATAGTGTACACATGGCTCCTTGCTCTAATTCGCCTACTCTTTAAGTTGACCCTAACTAGACATCAGATCAAATGTACACTATACACTTCCTTGTGGGTTCGATAAATGCAAAAGACAGAGCATATGGATACAACCCAGCTATCTCAGTATCACAGTGTAGAAAACCTGATATTCCCCCAGGAAATAGGAACAATATTCAACATTCTATTCAACATTTATAAAATGCGGGGGGAGACAAAAAGAACCAAGCCGGAAATAATCTAAATAGATATTAAAAAGATTATTAATAACACTGTAACATACTTATGCCACAGAATGTTATATATGTAGCATGAAAATGGAGGAATTAGGAGTGTGAATATGGATAAATCTAACACTGTTGAAGAACATAGGCACATGTAAGGTATTTATAATTACGCTGCAAATATGGATACGATAATAACCATCTGCTTAAGTTTGACCTAGGGATATAAAACATGCATGAGAATGGCAAGCAGACTCAACTCCTGGGACCTCCATGGGGATGAGAGGAGTGGTCAGTGGGTACAAAGCTCCAGTCAGACGTCTCTATGACACCCAACAGTGGCCTTTAAAGTTCTGTAGATACCTACTAGGTCTTCATTTTAAATCTTTCACAAAAAATTAAACTAAACAAGGAAGAAAAATGTTGGTAAAGTTGAAAAGCTCTCTGCAATACTAGATCTATTTGTTGAAAGAAGCAATAGTCCAGGGTGTAGCTCAATGGGAGGAAACGCTCCCCTATGTCTGAGGCCCTGGGTTAGACCCCAGGCTCCGGGAAGGAAGGCAGGCAGGCAGGCAGGAGGCCAGACTTGGGAGTTTCTAAGTACACTCCTAAGCCAGAGACAAAATCAGAGGGGAAGGCCTTGAAAGAATTAGAACACTTGAGGCTTCCCTGGAGAGCTCTGAAGGTTAAATATAAAACCAGGGAAACCCAAAGAAAGCCAAACTAGGAGGAACTGCTAAAAAACCAAAGTCAAAAAGAGAATCCTGCAAACTGCCCAGAAAGAAGGCGGCTTAATCCTTGGTTCTCAACAATAAACGGACAACGTTACAATGGGGAGAGAGTAAGAGTCAGTCTCAGATTCTAAACCAAGCAATCCCATCCTTCCGTGATGAAAAGCTAGAGACAATTTTAAACCTGCACATTTCTCAACAGCCGGCTCGCATGCACAGAAATACTGAGAGATTGTTCAGACAGGAAACTGTGAGAGCAAATTTTAAAATCTTATTTTATAGTACTTAGGAGAAACACACCTAAAAAAAAAAAAAGAATGTCTCAATGTAAGACCACAAGAGACTCTGGGAAAGGGTACCAGCACTGGGTAGGGGTGATTACCTGTATCTGAAAAGGGGTGAAAGCTACCTAAAGTACAGACACTACCAGGCTGTGGTTCTTTGTCTTTTAAAGAAGGTAACACATATTCGTCAGTATATTGAGAATAAAAATTATCGAAGGCCTCCCAAGAGGCACTCACAGGCTCAAGGTCAAGGCTAGTTTTACTCTGGCAGACTTAGTGGACCACACGGTGCTGGAGATAGAATCCAAGTCAGCCACCCGCAAGGCAAATGCCCTGCCCCTTATACTATAGCTCTGCCCCAAATCAAATATTTTTAAAATATTTCCCCAAAGACTTTTAGAAGAAAAATTAAAACTTCTATTATCAAATAAATTATGAATATGCAAAAGTAGGGCAAAGATTAGAAGCTATCTGAACTATATCATGCACAATGAAGAGATGAAAAGGAATAAAACTTGAATAATCACCAAGGTAAAACAAATTAAAAGTGCAGATAGATATCTATTTATTCTCCTGGACATGTCTAACAGTGCTCAGGGATTACTCTGGGCTCTGTGCTCGCAGGCTGATCCTGGTGGTGTGGGGAACCATGGAGACCCTAGTGTCCAAACCCAGACCTCTCATATGCAAAGCACGCCCTCACACACTAAGTCTTTGGTCTTGAAAAGCACAACAAAGCTCCTTTTGGTAAGAGTATAAAAAAATGCAAAAACCAATTAGATGTCTCTAAAGATAAATGAGTAGAACCACGACCACCAAAAAATCACCACAGAAAGCTCCCACTCCAAGCATACAACAGATACAGATATACCTGCAACAGCAAGGTAAAACACGTACTAAAAGGCATCTATTAAGAGAAGCAACATTCCTAACAACACTCCAAACACATATCAACAACAGAATGGCGGTTACAAACTAGTCCCACAGAACAAGGATTCCAGTCCTCAAAGATAAGCAGGACCAACCGAATCCCACACGCAGGCTGCATCCACAACCTAAGTTGAGTTTACAGAAACACACTGGCTGGCTGTGATCCCACTGGGATGTCTTATTAAAGGTCAACACCACGAAGCAATTCGTGAACATCACTGAAGCTCTGCGAAAATATTTTATTATGCATTTCAAATTTTCCACCTGAAATGCCCCTCTCCCAGGGTCAGGGAGAGACGCAGGGCTGGAGTACAGACTACCTGGGGGAGCTCAGGTTCAATCCTCAGCAGCCCTGGGGGCACAACCACACACTGCACTAAGAGTGTCCAGCCACCACTAGATGCAGACCCAGACAACCAAAGGAAAAGTAAACAAATAAAATGGCCTCTTCTAAAAATCAGCTTTTAAAAAAATAAGCTCCTTTGATAAACACTTTAGAATGATTATGCAATTTTTATTTATAATAATTTTTACTTGTATTTTCTGTGGACTGGCTGAGTATAAGTTATGAGCAACAATAATATTCCTCATTGCACACTCCAGACAGTCTAGATTCCTTGGCCCCAAATGAACAGAAGACGGTGAAGGCCCCCGTCACCGTGAGGAGTACATGCTGTCCCTGGCAGTGTCTACAAAGCACAAGGATCAGACTCTCAAAACCAATCGTATCTAACAAATGATCTTATTTGGGACTGTAAAATTACATCATTTCTTCTCTTTATAAACTGCCATTCCCAGTCATGTGAAGCATCAATATTCTGGAAATCTATTACAGAGAGTAAACCTCTATTGGAAACAAAGCCCAATGAGATTGGTGAAATAGCTCTTCCTTCCACAAAGGAGACAGCGTATCAGCAACCCTACTCATGCTGAGAAAACATTCCCATATAAACCAAAGAGTTCTGCATTAGCAATATCACAAGATTCTTTTAACTCCTTTATAGCTGTTTCCAAAAAAATCATGAGTAACAGGAAACTTTTGACAATTCCCTAACAACTCAATTAAGTTGTTTTTAAACTATGCTAAAAGCAAGGAATGAAAACTGTCAGAATAAACATACCAGTTGAAATTTTCAACTTTTTTTTTTTTTTTTTTGCTTTTTGGGCCACACCTAGCAATGCTGGTTCTGCACTCAGGAATTACTCCTGGCAGTGCTTGGGGGACCATATGGGATGCCGGCAATCAAACTCGGGTCGACCGTGTGCAAGGCAAAAGCCCTACCCGCTGGACTGTCTCTCCAGTCCCAGCATTCTTATTTTAAAGACACCTCACACCACCCCACCAACACACACACACATTTTTGTTCTTGTTTTTTGACTAGTTAAAGGCATTCCCCCCACCCTCCCTTGAACCAAGGACACGAACTAACATCAAAAATGGCTCATATGGGGCTGGAGAGATAGTACAGCAGGTAGGGTGTCTGCTTGGGTTCGATCCCTGGCATCCCGTATGGTCCCCCAAGCAGAGTCATGAAGATTCACTAAGTACAGAGCCAGGAATAACCCCTGAGCACCACTAGGTGTGGCCCAAAAGCAAAAAATAAGTGCTTAGAATTAGAATTTCTAATCTGAACTTCTATTAGAATAGAATGTTAGAATTTAGATCTGAGTATGTTTTAATTTCCGCTAAGACTCCTTTGAGGGTGAGAGAGATAGTACAGCAGATAGGCATTTGCCTTGCATGTAGCTAACTGGGTATGATCCCCAGCACTACATAGAATCCCCTAAGCACTGAGTGATCCCTGAGCAGAGTCAAGGAGAAACCCCTGAGTACTGCTAGCTATGACCTCCCCATCCCCAAAAAAGATTTCTTTCTGAGCTGTCAATTATTTAGAAATTATTTTAAATTTCCCAACATGGGGGAATTTTCTCATTACTCTTTGTAAATGACTTCTATCTTAATTGCCTGCAGTCATTACACACAGTCTTTGAAATCTGTGGAGGTTTAATATTCTAGCAGAGGGTTACTAGTGAA